AGTGGATAGAAAGTGGAAGGAAAAAGCAGTTTTAGTGTATGATACATAAATTTGGTATTTCAAAGGTAGAACTGTTCTAATTTGTAAAAAAAAAATTCTTGTTGAGGTTGTGGGCATCAGCGGTTAACAAGAATGGTGGTAGTAAAGGACATAAACGAAAGAGAAGTAAAGACAACAGCACAAAGATGGTCCAGGATATGAGACCTCAATGGGTATTCACAAGTCATGGTTTGATCCATATGGCTTCAGTTCCTATTTGGTCTTGACTTTAATTTAAAGAGCTATTTTGAACCCTTCTATATCATTAAGGAACTTTAAAACATTAATTTCAAAGGGTATATGCACACTTATGTTCATAGCATTGCTTAGTACAATAGATAAGATACAGGAACAACCCAAATGCCCAACTGTGGGTGAATAGAAATAGAATTTATATCTTTGGTGCATTTAAATAATTTGATAAAGAGTAAAGGAATCTTTTGGTCTGATTCCAGTGCAATATCTCAGATCAGATTCTTTTTTTTTTTTTTACTCTAATGCCATTATGAAATGGGCAACTAGTGCAATGGAAATTACATTGAAGAAAGATTGACTTGGGAGCACATGGTAGGATATTTATGCTCTGTTCAAGAGAGCAAATGGAAAGAAATACAGAAAAGGGAAAGGAGGAAAGGGAAAACATAGACTAGAATCTCAGACTTTGGTAAAACTGAATAAAATCTCTGGAAATTACTTTCTACCTTAATAGAGGCAATAAAATCATGTCTCCTAATCATACAACAATTTTTGGACTTCAAGTTTAATCCAGTAATGTAAATTCCTATGTTATTCCTATATAACAGTTGTTTTCATGTAAAATTTGGAATATCTATCCTTATGCCTCTTGATATTTTTGCTCTCTCCATACTGTACATTTATTTTAGAAACACTCTATTACAGGAAAAATAATGTGTCCCTTTTGGGAGGACACTTCATCACATAGCTTCTCATTACTCATGTGAAGTGCCAAGAACCTTGAAAGGACAGAAAGAAATTATTCCTCTCTAGTTTCTCTGTGGCTCTCCTTTTGACAGTGCTCAAGTACAGGCTGATTGGCTATACAACCACAGGGATTTGATGAAACAAAGCATTTCACAGCAATGCAGAATCCAGCTGCTTCTATGTCAAGCAAAGTACAAGGCATGACCTTGGTTGATTGCAGGATGCTAAGTTGCTTCGCCTAAAGCAGAAGTCCAAGGAAGAGGGCAAATCCTTTTACTGACTAAATTTTGAAGCTTTTCTTATCAAAATGCAATGTACTACAAATTGAACATGTTTACAAAACGCTGAAAGTGCATAGTATTTTTTACTAACATAGCTGCTGACTTGTATCAAACCATCCTATCAATTCCTGCTTTTATAATATACAATATGTTAGTTCTCAGAACTTATTCGGTACCCAAGATACTTAAAATCTAAACAATTGATTTAAGAGCAGTGATATTTAAATATCCATATCAAAAAAATTTAATTGGGGCCAGGGAAATGCTCAACAAGCTGGAGCTAATATTCTGCATGCAGAACCGTGTGTTTAATTTCTGGCAGCACATAGTCCCATGAGCACTCCAGAGTATCACCCAATGCCCCTGACCCCCTGCCCAAATCAAAATGTGACAGTAAATTTGGTTTCCAAATGCTATATAAATTTGATAGTCCACAAAAGGTAGACAAATTCCTCATTTAATTATATTTTAAAAAATTAAAGAATTGAGTAGGTTAACCACTGCTAGCTACCACTGATATGAAGTAATAAACAGGCATTCAATAATTTATTGGTCTCTATAAAATAATCTCATTTTCTTCAGTGTGAAAACAAATTTCTATTGGATGTAACTCCTATGGGTTGGTTAATGTGTTGGATGATTCATATGACCATGCCATTTCAATCTGTTGTCTGCACATAAAAACACTCTGAATTACACTTATTATTTTAGGTTACAATTTAATCTCTTTTTTTGCATGGTCCACATATAATATTAACATAAATAAAAATAAATATGGAAACTCATGCATCATTCTCACAGCTAACAAATGAAACAATTTTCACCATTTAGAGTAACTTACTATTTTTTGCTCATATGGACATTTTTCTCTGGTAATATATTTGTGTTTTATGTTTCTTAATATTGTCTCATAAGGATTTTACATATCGCCATAAAGGCTTCTTCATCAACAAAAATACACTAATTGTGAATATTGCCATAATCCAATGAATTGCTTCCCCACTCTTAAACATGTTAACTTCCAGTGCTCTCCTTCTTTGTTTCTGTGGTCTATTTTTTGGTTAATGGTTTAACCACAAACATTTTCATATTTATGCAGTTTTCCATTTGTTTTTTATGCTTATCTTTTCAGATAAATTCCCTCAAGTACAAACATCTGGATATGAATATTTTCCTGACTCATATTCTCAAAGTGCTTTCAAAATTTAATTGCTATTACTAACAAAGTATGTACCTATGATATGTACTATGACTTTTAGCAGGACTTGGATAATAGTCACTGTCACTGTCACTGTCCTCCCGTTGTTCATCGATTTGCTTGAGCAGGCCCAGTAACATCTCCATTGTGACACTTGTTTCTGTGTTTGGCCTATTGAATATGGCACAGGTAGCTTACCAGGCTTTGCTGTGCAGGCGAGATACTCTCAGTAGCTTGCCGGGCTCTCCGAGAGAGGCAGGGGAATCGAACTCCAGTCGACCATACTGGCTGCTTGCAATGCAAACGCCCTACCCGCTATGCTATCACTCCAGCCCTAGATAATAGTATAATTTTTTTGGTCTGTTTTATGTTTTTTTGTGTACCAAGGGCTAGGGAGAGGGAAGTGGAAAGAAGTAGGAAATGAGTGTGCTTTTGTGATTTGTTTTGTTTTGCAATGCTAGGGCCTGAACCCTGGCACCCATGCATGACAAGAGCACTAATTTCATGAACCGGGCATTTCTATGATAGCGTTCCCTTGAAATCCCATTTGGATTGTTTCAATCTGCAATTTCAACCATTATTACATATTTTAAAACATTTGTTAATTAAAATTCTTATTTGTGTATTATCATGGGGGTATATATCTTTGTATTTACCTAAAATATTTACATACATTTTATGCTCTATTTAGAAAATAATATTATACCACATTGCTCGAGCTCGAGGTAAAGTAAAGGCCCTCCCGTTGATCGTCGATTTGCTCGAGCAGGCCCAGTAACGTCTCCATTGGAGACTTTGTTGTTACTGTGTCTGGCATATCGAATACTCTCGGTAGCTTGCCAGGCTCTCCGAGAGGGGCGGAGGAATCGAACTCGGGTCAGCCATGTTGGCCGCTTGTAAGGCGAACGCCCTACCTGCTGTGCTATCGCTCCAGCCCTATATACCACATTAACTGAAGTTTTATACCTTAATAGATTGCTTTACTGAGGGCTTTTTTGTTTAACGGCTATTTAACATTTTTACTTTATTAAAATTTTTAAAGTAATTTTATTCTTTTACTTTAAAGCTAGGATAACAGTCCTAAATGTCTGACAAGAATGTGACATCATCCATCATTTAATTTAAAAAGAAACCTAATATTTACTTACTCTATCTGGAATGTGCTTTGGCATATATTTTAAGATATTAATTTTAATTTAGGGATTGAAGAGATAGTTCAGGAGAGTAGATACATGCCTTGCATGTGGCTAGCTCTGTTCAATGCCCAGCAGTACATGTGGTCCCCTGGGGTCAATATGAATACTAAGTGAAATGCAAAACCAGCTTCTAACATTTTTTTAAAAGATATATGGATAAATTTCTTTTTTTGAATCATAGGTAGAATTTCATTTTACATTATCATGCTACATATAATTATTTTTTATAGATCTCCTCTGTCAGATAATAACCTTGTCCACAAAAAAATAACCTTGTCCACAAATGTTTTTATTTTATTCTGCTATAACTGTAATTTCTCTTGTATTATGTTTTGTATTCATTTTTCTTAATTAAAGAGTGATGTTACTAGTTTTTAGTATATATTTTTTATGTTTAGTTGTTTTATTGAGTTTCTTGCTACCTTTTAAAAATATGTTGTTTTTGTTGTTTTCTGGATTGTCACATTTCCAAATCAGCCATTTAACAGAAAAATGGAAAATCCAAGGTTAGGTATCTATCATGATATCATGATATATTAAAATATTTCTGTTGGAAACATAAACTTAAGAAGAAGAGTTCACAATTACTTCAATGTCCTTGTGGACTGTATTACCACCTTAAGAACTTTCATCATTGGCCCTTCAAACCTCATAAATAGCTTTACTGACATCAGAGGCTGATGTTAATTACAGTGTGGAAGAGAAAGGAATAAGAAAAATAACATATATCCTTGGTGTTTACTGGCTTTGGGCATTAAAAATTATACTTAGAGATTAGAGAACATAAGAAAATACAGGAAATAGATACTAACAGCACATACCTGCACTCTTACCACCTGATCATCTAACTTTTCTTTCCACAACCAAGAGCTTCCACTTCCAAATACATCATCATTCTACCTCCCCTCACCCCAAATATCATTTTAGATATATGAGGATCAATTCTGTTTGGTCTAGAAATAATTTCTGTTGTCCCCTGTCATCTCATCACCACGCACTGACCCATCTACTCCCAAGGAGCATCACTGGAAAAGCAATGAGAAAATATCACACACACACACACACACACACACACACACACACACACACCACCCCCGCCCCCAGCCTACCGCACTGCATCAGCTAACTAACAAGATAAAACAAAATCTACTGCTAAAAGCAATCTAAAGAACAGAATTCCCTAAACTGCCTTCATCACAATTTATTTTTACTTATCTTTTGGTTTTAAATCAATTGGAAAAACAAGACATAAGGAGTAAATAGGTTCAAGGAAATGACCAACGTGATACAATATTTCCACTACCGATCCAGACACGCAGCTTCAGGTATGGTTTTTGTACTCACGGGGAAAATGATTAGAAGTGGATGGATTGACACTGTCCCCACTGTCAGCACTTTCACTGCTGGAGACTTCATCATCTGATTCCCGCACAGAGGAGCAGGGTGAAGAGCCGTCAACTTCTTCAAACTTCCTCTTTAAAATTCCACTCATAGCTGCAGCACTGTCACATGTACCTGTAACAGGAAAGGAAGCAATGAAGCATTGAAATATTTGACCGCTGAATGTGTAGCCAAGGTCTCCTGAGTCATTTTTATGTGTGTATGTGTGAGTTTTTATGCATGAGCTGAGCTTTCCCTTGAAAGCATTGGTGTTTTGGTTCTCCTTTTTTTTTCCCGGTTTAACAAAAATAAAACTGAATATTAGCATTTGACTATTTGGTTACTGAAATATGTCCATTTTTCCAAAATCCAGTTCATTTTTAATGCAATACATTTTTGTTGTTGTTGTTGGAAAATTAAAAGAATCTATCCGGGAAATTTGGTAGCAAAAATAAATGTCAGTATCCCTTAAGCCCCAAACAATGACTTCCTTCTCTAACATTTACCTAGAAGAAACACAGATCAGTAAGCAATATCACTGTACTCAAATTTAAAATGCAATGCAAAACAACAAAAACAAAACCCCAACTCTTTAGCAGAGCATAAAAAAGCAGAGGAAATCACTTCTTACATTTAGGTGGTTTCCATGTCAATAGTGAAATAAGGGAAGTGTGTACCAATGACACCCGGTTGCTAAAGCCATTACCAAAGTATCAGAACTTCCAAGGGCTATTATTTACCTGGGAGATTATACTAATTGAGCGGTGCAGATGAGGGGTATGGTTTAGCCTAAATGCCATCTCTGTGATAAAAGACTCTCCTTCACTGCCCTTTCTGCACCAGTCTCACTTAACGTGACATATGCACAGTCAGCTAGAAGATATAAATTTTCCTTGCAGTGTAAGGTTATTTTAAGAGATGGTATATATAAATATATATATATGCTGCAATTTTAATTGCCCTTCCATTATATTTTAGGTTATGTAGATATGTATAGATATAGATAGTCTTACATTGCTATAAGAGGTTAACTTGGCTAGGAGAGTTAAGTCAATCCCATGCATTCCATTGTCCATCTCATTTATGTCAGCTTGAACTCTCCTTTGAGTGCTGGAAGTCACTCTTTACTCTGCTTCCCATTTAGTCATTAGTCTCCTTGGTCAGGAGAAAGAAAGACCTCTAAAACTATTGTGATGCCTACTTGGTTACATGATTTAGGTATGTTCTCAGAAATATAAAATCCCTTGTCTGTGAAGATCACAAAGCAATGTCTGTTTCTCTTTAGCTAATCCAGCTCACCAAGATTTAATTATTTTTTCAAGCGGGTTTTTGTATCTGCATCATTAATATCATTGAAAGGGAAATTATTAAACAGGCAAATTCTCAGGTCCCACCGCAGAAATCAATGGGAAACTTCTTGGGGATCATGGATGTAGCTTAGAAGCAAAGCATATACATTGGATGTGTGAAACCCTGGATTTGATCGAGGACATCACAAAAAAAAAAAGGGAAGAAGAAAAACCAATAAAACCCTATGTGAGAAGGCTTCTTGGACTCAGTGCTACATAAAGCCATCCAGCTGATTCTGTGATAAAATCAAATTAAAGATCTAATTTCTTACTCTAGTCTCTTTTCTGTACTGCAGTAGTTCCCTCCTGGGACTTTTCTTTGTGTGGGACTATCCACACACTAGCCCCAGAAAGAAACATGTCCCAAATTCAACATCTGGTACCTATGTCTCCCTGGGCACAGCTGTGGTGGCCCAGGTAGACAACCATTGCGGGCTCTGTTCAGTACAGCTCTAGAGCTGAATATGATCAAGCACACGTTGTCATACTGCTCGTTCCCAGGAGTGACCTTGGTATCCTCTGCCCCCACAAATAGTGCCAGGACATCCCTATATCTATATTTTTTTCCTTTTAAATCTCTCTCTCTCTCTCTCTCTCTCTCTCTGCCCCCCCAGCACCCCTCAATTTTGCAGCCAAACCTGGTGGTGTTTAAAACAACTTGGTACTCAATGCTTGTTTCTGGAAGCACTCTTAGGTGCGTGCAGGGTAAGGACCCTACCCATGATTCCTGCATGCAAACTATGTGCTCCAGCCTTTTGATCTGCCTCCCTGGCCCTTATATCTCTTATTCAATCAATCCTGGTGGGTCATCTAGTAAAACTAAGTATAGTTTCATGCATCATGTACTTCATATTAAGTGTTATTTATGTGAATATATTTCATTAATCTAAAGTATGTGTTAATGTGTTGTGTATATATATAAGCTTAATTTCACTTGCATTTTTATATATATGCCTAATTCCACTTCAGGTGGGTAGCAAGGGAGTCAAAATGCACTAGACCAAGTTACCTATCCTCATGAAGCAAATACCCCCTATGCTGAGCTCCTTCAAATTCAAAATACTTATAAACTCCTGTTCTATAACTTTGTTTCATGAATATGTCTTTTCAATGACTTACATTAACAGTGGACACAGAGAAATAATCATATGAAAATATCACACTGTCCAGTCTTCTGAGAAAAAAAAATCTCTATTCTGGTTGACTTTATTGTTTACTGTTCAGATTAGCATATCATTTTTTCCATCTTAAGAGTGTGAAATGCATAAATGTTCATGCATATCTGAACAGGGTGAAGAGACAAAAAGATATTTTAAGTAAAGTTCTTGAAATAAAGTAGGACAAGATATAAATTTTAAAATGGTTTGTTTCAAACAAGATGCAAAGTAATTCATGAGGGAGAGACTCCAAGACACAAAGACACAAAGTGATACAAGATGGAAATCCAAGAAAAAGGAACAATTTTATAATAAGATACAGCAACGAGAACAATGAAAAACCATGTGCCCACACTCCTTGAGCCACCCCTGGCTTTGCTGAAGTCTTTTTCCTGGCTCTGAGTTCAGGGATCACTCCTACAGGGAATTGGGACACTCTCTGAGGTGTTGGGGATTGAGCTGGGATCAGCCATGTGCAAAGTAAGTGCCTTACCTGCTGTACAATTTCTCAGCCCTGTGTGTTTCTTCAATTCCATATGCCCACAGATCTCCAGCTTTCTTAGGAAAGGCATATTTCTCTACATCATTCATGGAATACAGGGGACCATGTTCCAATATGGTAAAATGGGGGCTGTAATGTGCTTGCTTCTCTTTCTTTCTCACTTCTTCTAGAGTAAGATGAGTTACACCGCCACCCCACATAATATATATTTTGTTTCTTAAGATGAAACATAACTAAACAGGGAAATATGAAGCCAGTGAAAGAATTGACCACATTTTAAATTGACTTAATATATGGCATCAAAACCTAAAGAATAGTAGATAGAACTGGACAGGCATTAATTTAGTCTAAATATAAAAAGTTGAACACAGAAATCTCTATAGCAACATTTTAGCACAGTTACTATTTACAATTAATAAAATACATGCTAGTCAGGGCACCACCACTTCTCACTTAAAACAACAGCTTCCTAATTATTCTCTCCCATCCCCTACTGTTTGTTTTCAATGTGTTTTCCAGGTTGGAGGCAGAAGGATAAATTTAAAATGCAAATCTGATCCTGTCAGTCTGTAGCTTAAAACTCTTAAGTGGTTTTGGATTGCCTTAGGATCAAGTTCAAAATCCTCAAAATGGTTTATAAAGTATTAACAACCTAGTTTAGCTAACCCCTTCATTTTGAGCCACTAGCCTTGTACCCAATACCTTAGCTTTAATAACTTTCTGGTTCTCCAACCTAACTTTTGAGAAACTAGTCATTCTGATCAACATTTAATTTTTTTCCCTAGCATTTACCACTCTTTAAGCCATATTATTTATTTCTGTTTACTACTAATTGTTTTTATTCCTTAGTAAAAGACAGATGTGTAGGAATCATTGTTTTCTTTCTTAATGTTACAAGAGCCTAGAACAGTCTTTGTAATACTATATGCTGAAAAAATATTTGAAGAGTGAACAAAACCCTTCCATTTTCATATTTTAATTAATTTAACAATGTGCATTCCTCTATATCCATTTCTCTACCAGACAAAAAACTTGATGAAGCAAAAATTATATTTATATCTCATTTACTACAATTTTTCCTGACTGATAAAGTATTTGGCATATTAAATAGAATGGGAATCAAAATTTGAGAGGAAACTGACCTCAAAATGTCATAGACTTCTTTTGCTTGTAAGCCACTGAAAAGACAATTCTAGCTAACTTAAGCATAAGACATCTGTTGGAAAAATACATGTTCACGCAATTTAAAATAGAGCTGAAATTAAAAAAAAAGAAAAGAAAACAGAATACTTAGAAAATGTAGGAATAAGGACTGTTGCTGAAATTGTAGTTAAAATTCCTTGCTTTATTTCTAGATCCCCCAAGACTACAGGTTTAAGTCCAGAAACTCTTCTCTTTTTTCACAGTTCAAGTTTAATGTCCAAGAATTGAGCAACTTTTTAAGACCATCTTCGGTTATGTGCCCAGCTCCTGATTTATTTGACGACAGGTCAGAGTGACAAGTTCCACTTTAGAGAATATTACCTACAGGCTTCAGAGTGCTTAACTGCTGCTTGCTCATCAAGCCCTTGTACAGGTATCTTGTTTGCTTGTCTCCATGTTTCTTTGTTTGCTTTTTCAACTCTGAAGAAACTTGTGTTCTCTCATGAACATGTACTTCCACTCTTTCTCATCTCTCATATACTCCTAAGTAAGTTTCAGTAAAAACTCTCTTTTTAACCAAAAAAAGAAAAAAAAGAAAAGAAAGTCCAACTGCATTTCAAAGTTTGCAGTTTTCTTTGAAATGTTCTCTCCATACATAACATGAACTTATCCATGACTTCTGGTTACTGACTAAAGGTTACTGACTGTGGCTTTTAGTATGGTGAAGTAACATTACACAGATACACATATTTAACAATAACATGGAAATTATAGCACAGCGGGTAGGGCGTTTGCTTGCACGCAGCCAACATGGCCGACCCGAGTTCGATTCCTCCGCCCCTCTCGGAGAGCCCGGCAAGCTACCGAGAGTATCTTGCCCGCACAGCAGAGCCTGGCAAGCTCCCCGTGACGTATTCGAGATGCCAAACACAGTAACAACAAAGTCTCCAATGGAGACGTTACTGGGCCCGCTCGAGCAAATCG